GGGAAATAATGCTTTCTTTGCTCAATTGGGGTAGTTTAACTCAATGAGAAATCCTCACCTAATACAGTGGGTGAATTTCTGGCCTTCATAAAGCCAATAGCTATTTTGCCATCAACGTCAGTGGGACCAAGGCTTCACTCACTGGCTTGACATTCAAGTTAACAGAGTTTCTGTTGAGCAGAACTAATTCAGCTGAGTGAACTCAACTAAGGAAATACCGTTTGTCCTTGTTGGTGCCTGCCTTGTCCCCACTGCTGCTCTGTCCCCACTAGCACCTCCACCACTGCTGTTGCAGTGTTAGCAGGATGCTACGGGACTTCCCAGAAGAATCAGTGCCGCAGACCCCCTGCAGAATGGAAAGGGCAGTTGTCAATGCCTGAAACACTTCAGCACGTTTCAGTAAAGAGTCTTTCCTTTCAAGAAGCCTCTCTCCCTTTTTAGTGAAGCTTCATTCACCATAAAGGGAATCCACTGTGCCAGCCAAGCAAGCACATAGAGCATGCTGCATTCCCAGGGCAATAATTTGCCAGAGCAAAAGAGAAGAGAGAGATACTGCTACTTCAGGTGGAGAGGAGTAAAGAGAAATGCCTGGGGCATGGCTGCAGTACAGTTGCTCTTAGATGTCTTATAAAGAGGGGGTGTTCCCTGACAGGAGGGGGAAGAAATGCCTATAAAGGAGCCTCCTCACTGCCAGCTCCTGGTCCTTACACACTGGCATTCAGGTTTTGCCTACAGTTGCAAATTGTTTCAGGTTACGGTAAAGTGTGAATCAAAGTGCAAAAGCAATTCCCAAATAACTCTAGGGAAGGAAAGCCTTTAGCAGCATTTTCCTAGTCCCTTTTAGCAGGTGTTAATTGATTGTTAAGAGGTTTTAGGGGGCAGAGACACCTGCCCCCTAAAATGCTTGTGTTTTAGCCTAGGACTGGGAAGCCTGACCCCTATCCTGCCGGTGACATTAAATAACATGCGTTATGTTAGTCCCTCTCTGGTTACAATTAAGCTCTTTATAGGATGTAATCTACCTCTCTGCAGAGGGCCAACACATGGATCAACTTCTGTGTTGAGGATTTAAGTAGGATTTTAGTGGTCCAAAGGCCAACCGGTAATCCCCCCATACCAGAGACTCTCACCCTGTGTTGATTTCCCTCTTGCTGGAAGAGCCTGTCATTGTGCCATGAAAAGTTTTAAAACTTTTCTTTAGTTTCTAGCTCTTACATGTTAGCTAAAAACTGCTTATCTGTATCTCTTCAACAGGAGATTTAGTTATCTGTGAAGGTCAGAATTAGATGCCGTCATGTCAGCAGGATGCAACACACCTGCAGTGCCTTTCTGTGCAGCACTCTGCCCTCTTGTCATGGAACTTAATCCACCTTTGTCGCTTTTACCAGCCTCCCTTTAAGTGACTGTGATGTTATTTTTCCCCTTAGTAGCATGTAGGTCACCAGACAGCCTTAGGGACCCACCAGCTGACACACATCCTCCATTTTGAATCTGTGCATCAAGCTTTCTGAAGGGAATAAAAGTGCAGTTGCTACCAAGACTCCCTCCATTTTGCAGGGCTGTAGTTTGATGGGTTTTTTTTCCCCAGCATAGTTCTGCTGCTGGTGTTATTTAAAAAAAATCCCAAATAGGGAAGGAAAAAAAATAAACTTCAGGAAGGCTCCACCTCCCAGTTTGGAGTGGTTCAGTTGAAGTTTAATGGGTCCATGTTCTGCCATGGAAAAGTGAGTTATGTTTTCAGTTGGACTTTTCTCTTTTCCTTCATAGCTATTACTTAACTAGCTCATCGATTCATCATCATT